CACAATACTGTACCTTAATACTTAGACCAAAACAAGAAACCTTGTTATAAATTTGTAACTTTCCTTTTAAACTTACACACAAGGGTTTTCTTCACAAAATAAAATCAATCAAGCTTAGCTTTCTAAGTACACAAACAGAGACTGAACTCTACAAATTAATATTATCGTTATGGGTGTTCCAACAATGAATTAATTTTTTATTACAACAAAGTTCTGTCTTTTTGTTATTTAAAATATATTGTATTTAAAATTCCAACCAATATCTTACTATGTTACATTATTCTTACATTCAATTGTTCCTGTTTGTGTAATATACCTTATTTTATGGATACATCGTCTTGTCACACGGTCGGCACCAATATTTCGTGAAGTTCGTGACTGAATTCCAGCGCAATAACCATCATTACGAATACGTGTACAAGAAATGATTATCTGACATTTATATGATGCTAACGACTGATCGCCAATGCTGAACTTCAAATGTCACCCCAATTTGTAGCTATTAAAAAATTTAAACTCACATTAAAGATCACAAAATCAATCACTTAAAACACGAAAATACCACTTCATGGATTTTTATTGACTTTTTTGTGCTTTTTAAAGCGCTCCAAATACAAAAGAAAACTGGACTATCACAATTGTGACTTTAAAAGAACGTAGAAAGATTACTTCTGAACGGTAGCCATTTTTTAAAATTGTGTAAAATAAGAAAGACAAACTATTTTCATCGCGGCACACACTGTCACTATTCTTGTCTAACATCCGACTATAATTGAGTACACAAAGGATCATCTGCTGTATCGTCCTGATTCGGCACCAACTAACTTCTTTTTGTTTATTAAAATCATAAAAAAATTGTGAGAACAAAGATTTTCGTCAACAGAAGCCGTACATGCATTCAAAAATTACTGTTTTCTCCCTTAATGGCGATTATCAATGGCTGGTCTCCTTCACATGTTCCTAATTATTCACTACTCCTACCTTACTGTGTTCAAGCTTCAATACTGACGAAGCATTTTTCCCGATTCAATTTACAGTTAAACCAGCAACATGCGTACTTATATTATGGTAAAACAAGAAATTGAGTAGGGTGACGTATTCATGTACAATAATCTACTGATTGTACAAGATGCAAATCATATACCGATACCTAAACTTCAAAACCTCTCAAATGAAAATCTGGGTTTTGGAGTGTAATTTCAAAAACTCTCCACAATTTTATATAATTTGCGTGGACTAAAATTCAGTAATTTTTAACTCAAATCACAAGGAAAAGTTGTGACTTAATAAAACAATATATATATATATATATATATATATATATATATATATATATATATATATATATATATATATATATATTCTTCGACAATTTACCGTTATAAACAGTTTTTTGTACCTACTATAAAATTTGAAGATTTCAGTTGAGAGGTTTTGGAGTTTAGGTATCGTATTACGTTGGAGACGTATTACGTTGGAGACGTATTACGTCGTTTACTAATAAGAAAATCAAAATAATATTGTTTCATAAAATTTTAACAGCGCTACTTACAGTTTAGTAAGAAATATGCGGCCCTGTACAGTGAGCCGTCTTCACGATGCGTTTTACCAAATTAAAATTTGGTCAGCACAGATTATCCGAATCCTTAATTCTTTACTCTCTGTGGCGTTTCAAGAAGGCATCTTAAAGTATTGTACATCGATAATTCAGTCTGTTTTATTTATTCTTTATAGTTATGAAAAGAAATTTAGTTAAAAAAATAATAGAAATAGATAGATAACCACGTTTGTTAGTAATTTATTTCGAAAGTTGTCAAATAACAAATATACCGATTGTTAGTAAAAACAATTTTCATTCTAGTCATAAATAGGGCCCTCTGTATTTTAGACATAGACCTGTAGACATATACGGTTAGTTAATAGAAGAACAGCAAATTAGAATATTGGTCGACTTATTCAATACAATATACAGTACAGGAATCATTCCCAGAGATTTGTCGATGTCAACATTCATAACCCTACCAAAAAAAACCAAATGCAAAAGAATGCCAAGACCACCGGATAATAAGTTTAATGAGTCATACGCTCAAAATTTTTTTAAAAATTATACACCGGAGAATACACAACAAACTTGGGCAGGACATAAGTGACACACTATTTGGATTTAGAAATGCCCTGGGAACGAGGGAAGCCCTGTTCGCTGTGAATGTGCTTGTGCAAATGTACATGGATGTTAATCAACCAGTATATATGTGTTTCTTGGATTACAACAAAGCCTTCGATAAGGTCAGACATAACCGTCTTATCGAATTACTTAGGTAGTTGCAAAAGCTCAACAGGCCAAGAAAACATAACAATACATCGAGAACAAATTAAAAAAGTTGAAAACTATAAATATCTGGGTACAACAATTAACGAAAATAATGAGTACCCAGAAGAGATTAAGTCAAAAATAGGACAAACAAGAATTTTTTTCAACAAACTGAAGAAAGTATTCTGCAGCAGGGACCTTTCAATTTCTTTAAAGATAAGACTTCTGAGATGCTACTTGTCGTCCGTATTATTTTATGGTTTGGAGGCGTGGACATTAAAGAAAGATGTCATAATGATGAAAGTCAGAAAACTGCAATATCTGGGACATGTCATGAGGGGCGAGCGTTATAACTTGTTGCAATTAATAATGCAAGGAAGAATACAGGGTAGAAGGAGTCGCGGAAGAAGACGCATCTCCTGGTTAAACAATTTGAGAGCTTGGTTTAACTGCACTTACAACCTTCTTAGGTGAGATGGCACATAAAGAAGAAGTATTTTAGAAAGATTAATAAGATAAGATAAATAGTTGAATAAATATTCCAACAATGAAAATTACTTTGTGAATTAAATAACTGTAATTGAAAATTGTAATTTAAAAGAAACTAAAAAAACATGTTTTGTAAAACCGCTGACAGAAAACTTGATAATGTAGAAATTGTAGAACATCACAATGTTAATGTAGAACGCACAGAACATGAGCTATTGGAAAAAGCAGAAAATTAAGAAATGGATCCCTTGGATGTGATGGAATACCCTCAGAATTGTTCAAGTTGGGAGAAAGGGAAAAAACGAACACGATATATGACGAACTAATCTTCAAAAAGGATCTGCGAACATTTCAATCAAAATTAAGAACAAGTTTTTTTAATGAAAATGTGAAAAAAATAGAAAGGATATAGTACAAAGGAATAAGTCTACATAACCCTTCGTATCCATATCGTATTAATCCAAAAACAAATCTATCAAAACTATAGGAGAATCTCCTACCTCTGTAGTGGATATAAAATATTTACCAGTCTACTTGATCATAGACTACAACCTCTCGCGAAGAAGATCATCGGACAATGTCAGGCACTATGTATGCAAGGAAGATAACGATCGACCAACTATTCACGATTAAGCAGGTCTTGAAGCAAAGCCTGAGAACATGACATAGATCTCTATATTTTCGTAAAAATTCGTCGTTCGCCCTTCGCCAAAATAATAAATGAATTTGAAATACCGTCAAAACTAGTTAGGCTTATCTGAGTGACTTAGATACAGATACAACATGAGATGACACACCTACTAGCGAAAAGATGAAAAGAATACCGCTATGGTGCTGGTCCCTACCAGTTGTAAGAGGCGACCAATTGGATGTCCGGCTGTCTAGTAGCGGCCGTGTCCAAGTAGCTCTTCAGAGCTAAAAAATGAACTGAATACTGCTAGGGTGTTGGTTCCTACCGATAGTAAAGGTCAATCAATGGGATGCAACGAGAGATGGTAAGCCGTCGCTTGAGGTGTAGGGATCGCAGCAACGAGCACAAGGCGTGATCTAGTTCTTACCTCCCGTACGTTGGAACAGTAATGAGGTCGTAGTTTTACGTGTCGGTATGGGGGCTGCTACAGTAGCTAGTATCATAGTATCCGACACGATATCATGAGGGACCACTGTGCTTTCGTTCCACATAACCTCTGTAGGAGGTTTTGCAGGTTATATACGATCAGTCCCAATCTGAACGTGCGCCTGTGAGACGTACCTGTAGCAGGAGATGAGTGGTAGAGCAACCTGTCAAACGTTCTTAGTGGTCCGTTATACCACCACGCTCACCGGAGAGGGATTCGCAGGGGTCTTCAGGGGGACTCAGTGGTAGTCGATTGTGGAGGAAAATGGCTACAACCGTAACTAATGGAGAGGTTTGCTGAAGGACGCCAGGGCTCGAATTGGGCTGTAGTAGCCATGATGGAGGATGGAATTTAAAATTATAGTTATGGTACCTAGTATATTGAACATAAATGTATCATTCTTAGCAGTTTTGCATAAAAAACTGTCTATTGTAACGGTTCATTTTCTTAGCGTGGAAATATTTTGTTAGATTCAATGTTGGAAATATACGACATAAAAATTCCTACGAATACATAAAAACAATCACAATTTGATATCATCCTGAGGGTACAAACATCACCCTCAGATTTTTCAACTAAAAGCATGGCTATTTGCCTGCAAGATCGAGGCGATGTAACTCATTGTAAAGCAATAACTGCCAAACAAATATTGTTTATAAATAATAGCTCACTATTTTTAATTAATATTTTTTCAAAACTATTTCCGGTGTAGAAAAAGAAACGTCAAATAACAATTATAAAACGAATACATATTTCATTACAATCAATTGTGAATTAATCCCATATAAACATAATACTTAATGTTGTTGATTATTCATGGGCAATGGAACGTTTTATATTTTTTGTATAATTATAATTTTTGATATTTTTATTGATTCAAATTGTTGTTTTATTAATAGGATCAAAATATACATAAGTAGGCCAGTTCTTCGATACATTCATTACATAATTTACAGTTAAGAATAAACTCTCAGTTTCATAAAAATATATCCAAATAAAACATGGCATTAGTTTCTACTGTTTTAATACACATTTTATGGCATTAACTCAGCATAATCTTAATAAATTATTTTTCATTTCAGGAGGTCGGCAGTATTATTGGGAAAAAAGGAGAAATTGTTAAGAGGTTTCGAGAAGAGGTAAGTAGAATTCATTGACCATTTCTAAAATACTAATTAGTTCGTTGAACTTAATACTAATAAAATCAACATCGAGTGTATTTTTTTTAATGGTATTAACCTTTGACTTTACAACAAATTATTCGGTGATGCAAAGTTTCTTTCACACAGAATAAAATTTCGTTCATATGTTCTTCAAGGTGTAAAGGAATTGAGAAGTACATACGATTTTTATGTATTATTTAAAAACATTTTATACTAATAACGTACTTTTATACTACTAATATAATTTTTGCCTTACAATTTTTAGAAGGTTCAGATTAAAGCAGAAATCTGAATTTATTTCGAAACTATTTTACGGATTTATTATCAGATGTCGCTATTGCGTCCATATCGAAGCCATTTTAGTGTTGCTTCTTAAAGACAGAAAAGATTTTTTTCACGTTGAGAACGCCTATGAATTGCTGTTCTGATGAGCCCTATTAGGGCGAAATAAGTATAAACAGATACATAGACGCTTTGTATGTGAAATTAAATCTTTACTGTCTTTTTCATCTTAGTACTATGGTTTCCATTTCTCTTCTATTTTTTATATTTATTTTAGGATAGTTTGACAGATGAAGTGTCTATGTTTATGCAAACCTTCATTGCAAATTTTGATATAATATGTAAAAATGTTTCGTTTGCTTTTATTAAACAAGCAACAGAGTTTATGTAAATAAGAATAAAAAAGCCAAACACAAATAAAAATAAGTTTTATCCCATTTGAACTTGGAATAATCCCTTTAATCTGTGTAACTTTTTAAAGAACTTTTATATCGTTGTTATTCTTTTCTTTAAAATAAGATTACTGTATATAGCACTAAGATTTTCGATGTCTTCTCTTTTGTTTAATGTGTTTTGTATAGTCTTAATTAAACACGTTTCTAGAAACAGTCTTTTGTTGTAATTTCTTTTCCTTCTCAATGTTTCTGCTTGATCATAGTTAGGCGTGTGGCCCATCGTAATAGAATGTTCACTTAATGCACAGGCTTGTACTTTATTCAGATTATTGTCACTCTTGTGTGATGTCAATCTTCCGGACAAATTTCTGGAGGTTTATTCAATATATATTCTGTTAAGGGTATTTTAAGTTTGGTGTATAATTTCGATATTGTTTTTATATTTCTGGTTCCAATTTTGATATTAGGTACTTCTCTAAATGTATTTAGTAGTCTATTAGTTAAACCTGGAATATATGGTAAAGAATGGTGCAATGTATTTTGGTTGTTTCATCAAACAGAAGTTTCAACAAATACGGCTGTCGCCGTATTCCCGTTCTCCTCCGCCAATCCACCCGGTCCAAGGCATGCTCCTCCTCCAAATCTCTCGATTCCATCGCTCTTTTAATTCCTTCATTCCATGAACGTCAAGGTTTACCTTTTTCTCTTCTTCCAGGGGGCTTCCATCTGTTAAGGTTTTGGGGGCAACGTTCGTCAGGCATTCTCAATAGGTGTCCAAACCATTTTAAAACTCTTCTATTCTATCAATGACGCCTGTAGTATTCATGTTATTTCTTATAGATTCGTTGATAATCCTTTCCAGCCTTGATGTTCTAGCATTTGTTCTCAAATAATCCATTTCAACTGCCAACAATCTTCTCTTCAGGCCTGCATTAATTGTTCATACTTAAGAGTTATAACAAAGAACTGATTCAACCATGGTTTGCCCTATTCTTTTTTGTTTCTTTTGGAAATGTTGCGATCCTACCGTAAGGAGACACCCTTCAATTTTACGTCCCTAATTAATTCGGTGTTTAATTTCGGTTTCTCTCAAGCCGTTCCACCTAAACATTTAAATTTTTCCACTTGTTTGATTTCTACTTCCTCGTCTATCAACACTTCAAACCTTGCCTCTGAATTGATAACTAAATATTCTGTTTTCTTCATGCTGACTTGTAACCCCCATTTTACATATTCTCTGTATAGACGCTTTATTATAAATTCTAGATCATAAGAATCTTGAACTAGGACGACTTTGTCATGCGCAAAGTTCAAGGAGACTAGTACGTTATTCCCTATGGGTATTTCCAGTTCCTGGCAGTGGTTTTTTCAATATATAAATTAAACAGTAAGTGTGACATACTGCATTCTTGTCTTAGTCCTTTAGTTACTTTTATTGGCTCTGATAGTCTATTTCCGATTTTAAATAAGTAGTAATATCCCTGTATACTCCTGCGATTATTCCTAAAAGTTATGGACTAATGCCGAGTTGTTGTAAAGCTTGCCACAATTTAAGTCTTGGAACTGTATCATACGCCTTTTCTAGGTCGATGAAAGCTAGATGTACTTCGGCTTCAACCGCTATTATTTTTTCTATTAATTGTTGGAGTATAAACAAGTTGTCAGTGCAAGATCTACCAGGCTTAAATCCACTTTGGTCTTCGCTAATTAGATGTCCTACATTATCTTGTATTTGTCCATTTATTATCTTCCCAAACAATCTCCTGAAAGTAGGTAGGACACTTAATACTCTGTAGCAGTTCGGATCCTTTCGATTACCCTTTTTAAAGATGGACACTTGGTGAGCGGTTTTTCATTCAGATGGTACTTTAATTTGTTGGCAGCATTGATTTATTACAAAAGTTATTCATTCTATTAGGAGTGGACCTCCTGCTTTAAGTAACTCTACAGCTATATTGCCAGGTCCTGCAGATCGCCCGTTTTTCATTTTACTTAACGCAGTACGGACCTCGTTGTTAGTAGTATTAATGTTATTTGTTAGTCCCTCCATTTTCTATAGGAATGTTCCCAATTTTCTATAGGAATTAAATTGCTTAAAGAGTTAGGGGTGTTTTTCTTTAGATTAGTGATAATTCTTCATGCCTCCGTAGTCTGAGAACCACCAATTAAATTTTCAACTTGCACACATTTTTGTTCCCAGAAATCGTTTTTTTGCTTCTTTTATTTGATTGCGTACTTCTCCGTTTTTCCTTTTATGTTAGTCTATTGCTAGATGTTTTATTTGTTAGCCATTTCTTGTATCATTTTTGTTTTACGTTTTCTGTCATCCATGGTAGTTCGTGGTGTTTTTTGTCGTTGTTCTCTGTTCCTTATACTTCATAAGCCATTTTTTATTATCGTTTTGAGGTTATTGTATTCTTGTTCTACATCCATATTTCTTTCTATCTCATTTAGTTCCTTTTCTAATCTAGATTGAAAAAGATGTTTAATACTTCGTTGTAATAAAAGGTGCAATTTATATCTCTCCATTTTGTACTGTGTAGTATTGTTTCTCATACTTTCGGTGTTCTGTTTGTAGTATTGTTTAAAGGGACTCAAAAGATTAGCTAAAAGAAAGTAGTGATCTGTCCCACAGTGAGATTATCTTTTTACTCTGCAGTCTTGGCACTTAAATTTTGATTTCTGTCTCATTATTTTATAGTCTATGATCGACTTCTGTTGGAGTGAAGGTCGTTTCCAAGTGTATTTATGAATATCTTATAGTGGAATGGGTTATTAATTGTTTTTAAACCAAAAAGTGGACATAACTCAATTAAGCTATCCCTCGAACCATTTTTAACTATTTCTCCGTGCCGTGCTACTACGTCATCGTCTATTTGAGAACCTACTCTGGCATTTAGGTCTCCTAACAGTATGATTTCTTGATTACTTTTTATTTTATCACAAATGTTTGATAACTCTTCATAAAGGAAATCTTTAACTTGTTGATCTGAATCGTCTGTTGGCCCATAGACTCCAACAACTATTGTTTCGATGCCGTACAATGTGACAGATATTGTCAGAATTCTTTCAGAGATGTACGCATAGTCTTTCATATATTTTTTAACGATTTTTTTATAAGAGTTGGGGCCCCTGATTTAGCGTTTACGTGTTTTTCTACTCAAGACCATAAATGAATGGAGTCTTTAATTTGTTCATTTCCTTGGCCTTTCTTTTTGGTTTCAGACTGTGATGAACACTGTGATGTCCATTTTTTGCTTTGTCATTTCAGTTAAAATTTCCACTGTCTTGTGAGTCATACCTTGAGTGTTCCAAGTACTAATTTTCAAAGTCCTTTTCTTTGCCAGGTGTCGTCGTCGTAAGTTTCCATCCATATTCCGAGGCTCGGCGTTAGAATTTTTTAGTCAAAAGAGTTTTTTTCCAGATGATGAGGCACTGGCCCATCGCTCCAACTCCCAAGCTTGGAGGACCAGAATTTTCTGTTGGGGTTTCTTCCCTTAGTGGACGTGTTCTAATTTTAAGTTTAAATGCTGCTGTACCTTAATTTCACAATCTTGTTGCGTTTATAAGTCGATACAAGGTGTATTAGAAGTAATCTGTGTAAATTTACTCTCTAGTGTAGTTCTTCATCACAAACACCAATGGCATCTTTGCAATTCTCATTTCTAAAGTAGTTGATTCCTTATTTTAGGTCATTATATAGGATTTCTGTTTCTGAACTTTCGAATATTTAAAATGAGGTTTAACTTTGAGTGTTGTTTCTGAGAGTTTGTGTGAGTGACCTTGTTTATGAGTTTTATTTCATTTCTGATAAATAGATTCCCTCTATATGCTATATAAGTAAGCAGGGGAGCTTGCTTTTATTTTCTATAAATTTGTGTTTTAATGAAATCAGATAATTGTGTCTAAAAGTTAGGTTATCTTTATGTTTGTTGTGAATTCCTTATGAACATTATTTATTGTTCTCAAAATTATTTTATTAACTATTTTAGTTTCTTTTAATCGTAATTACCAATTTGTTGTCCACCTATCTAACAGTGGTGTATATATGTCCTGGTTGTTATAATGAAGTGGCTCTGAGGCCCTGAGCTTGAAAAGTGTGCTCCCTGCGCAATCATGAATGAATGAATACTAATATTTGTATAATAATATTTGTATGTAATTGCTAAAGGTTCTAAACCAAGGGTAAAATAAAAATTAATCGTAATTCGGTACCTCGTGATATTGTTTATAATTATATAATGCAATAACGGTACAAACATATTGAGGAAGGAACGCAAAATCAAACGATCCGCGCAT